TATATATATATATAATGATGTTTTTGTTGTTTGTTTAAAAGCAAAACCACAGTGGGTTATTTGCTACGTCTACCGCGGGGAATCGAACCCCGGATTTTAGCGTTGTAAGTCCGTATATAAACCATTGTCCCACCAGGAGACAAAAAAAATTAAACATTTGCTGTGAAACATGAGGTTAAAAAATTAAATTCACTCAGAAATAACAAAGAACAATTGATAACGTAGATCAGAGTGAAAGAATCTCATGGTTTACATATGTTTTGTCGAGGCTTTTGTTTCTAAAAAAAAATCTGTAATGACGTGACGACAATAAATTTTAAATAACAGCAATCCATGGTAATGTGTTTTTCCTCTCGTATGATTTCCCTTTTTCCATGCAGCTTACAGTCTGAAAAGCACAATTTCATTTTTCTATTTTCTACCACGAAACTATTTCTAAGTTATTCAGCAGAAAACAAGTGACGCATCTGTATATAAAATCAGTCGCTTTATTTCTATATTTTCACGAGAAATTTGATAGAAAGCTTCGTTGCCAATGAACTAAAAGACAATAATCTGAATTTCGTTTTTCAGGAATTGGAATTTTCAACCTGAACAGCACTTCATGCATACGTGGGCTAAGTTCTTCTGCAGGCATGATAGCTGTAAATATCTTAAGTTATTATAAATAATTCTATAGCATTCTAGTACCTGCGGTATATTTTAGTTATGAAAATTTGCATTAATTAAAGTATAAAGTAATGAAAGCACTCCGCTGACATCATGTTTTTTGCTGTTTATTTTACGCGTTGTGTATTTTATATGACCCATTCGCTACTCTAAATCTCCATTTTTGGGTTACGGGAAAAATTGGCTGCATAGCTTTTGCAATTCCATACACAATTTTATCTCTTAAGCCTTTTATTATGTCACTTCTTTTTTATGATATTCAATTTCATTGTACCTTTTGTCACATCTTTGGATCCAAGTTGTTTGCTGATGCCCCCCCCCCCTCCACTGAAACTGTTTTCCTATTCTACGGGTAGATGCAAAAACTAAAAACAACAACGTAAAGCAAATACGAAGGAAACCCTGTTTTTAATGTTTATTAGTTGTTAGTTCTTGCAGGACATCATGTCATTTTCTTACTTTGTTTTCTCTGTCAAGTGGTATTAATAGTGGTCTTAACCAATACCTTATGACCTAAAATACTAACAACAGTCAGAAAATTCGTGGTATTTTCGTTGCTGTAAACCTTCGTGATACCGCAGAAATAGGTTTTAAGTCTATATAAATATATTAGTACTGTATGTTGTCTGTCTATGTAACTACTTCGCAGGGTGTGGAAGGATCTTCACCAAATTTGGTATGTAGGTTCATTGGGTCCATGGGAAGATACGTACAAACTTTCAGTTTTGTATTTTGCGGTTTTTTATGGGCGTTTTTTTACCGCTACTTTGCTCCCTTTTGATGGATCTGTACCAAATTTGGCATGAAGGTTTGTTGGGTCCATGCGGAGATATATGCAAAGTTGTGGTTTCACATTTTGTGTTTTGCAGTTTTTATGGACGTTTTTGGGGTTTTTACAATCACATATAAGGGAAGCAACTTTTCATGTCATAACATAACATTTCAAGCTAGTATAAAATAGTTTGAATATCGATCTTGTTTTCTTAAGCTAACATTGATAATTTTTGCTTTAAATGTATGAAACAAACTAAATATATGTAATCCAGATCTAATAAAGCTCATTTTTTACAGGAGAAAAGCCTGCCGCCATGCATCACGGTGAAACTTCTGCTTCTGCTGTACACGTCTGTTTCCAGCCCATCTTGGTGCTCGTGTTAATAGTATTTGTGCATCGCGTTTTGAATGACGTCATACCCAGATAGCTTTGTTCTATGTTGACGATGGTCTCGGGGTCATACTGGCTAATGACTTGTTTTACTGATAACGTGTCTAAAGACTTAACCCGAGTTGTCCTTTTATCAACATGAATACGGTGTCACTGACCAGGACTAGGACACGTGCATCCGATGAGTCTTCTACATAGCTTTTGTCATCATCTTCTTCAGTAAACTGAATATAGTTCAGTGTGTTGCATTCTGTCTGATGTAAGACGGAAAACGAGAAACTTGTGAACATTGGTCACTTTTATGTTCTTACCGTGCTGTAAGATTGCAAATATCAAGGTTACCAAAAATGTAAAAATAAACACAAAAAACAAATATCTTAAAATATCTTTTAAATTTACACAGTGTTGGATTTGTAGTTATGGATACAACCCGTTACCGCTTTGTTGAATTGGGCCCAGTGTACATTTCTAACCCACAACTTTGAATGCTCAACGACCTTGATAAAGAAAGGAGTACACAAACCTAAAAATAATTAGTGGCTGAAATTTGAAAAACAAACACGAAAAAAAAAACGGTCAACTAATCTATAAGTGTATTATTTTGTCACCTCTTTGTGTCATTCCTTCACCTGTAGTACTTTTAAAAGAACAGAAATAATAAATTCTGGTGCTTCTGTTGATTGTAAGTGTTAACTGTAAGAGATGGTGTCAGTGCTGTTGATCATTTGTAGTTCATAACAAAACTCAGCTACTTATACCCTTTCTTTTTCAACGTACAGTTAGTTATTTTTCAAGTAAAACAACACGAATGTTTACTGCGTTATGAACAAAGAGTCATACCTTAAGTACCATTGTTAAAACGACAAACAATTGGTGAAAGTATTTTTAGCTGCAACGAGAGATGATATTTTTTGCAACTTTTTTTTGAATAAATAAACTTATAAGTTTTCCATTAAATATTATATTAAAGTTCTGGAAATTTCGCTAAATAGCTTCCTTCGCTCCAATTACCATATTTCTTCCAGAGCCAGACTTCTTTATAGAGAAATGTTACTTGCCAATTTTAGCAGGTAATTTGATAACTTGAAATCACACAAAAAGATTCAGAATTTTCTATGACATTAGATTGCTTTTATATCATTCGTAATTAGGTATATCTATTTATCTATTTGTATTAGTTTGAGTTGTTAAAAAGCGACTTACTGGGAGTCGCTAGGGGGTTAATATCTTTTAGCTTAATTGGTAGAAAACTCGCCTCAAGTTGTGTGATCTAATTTTAGGCGAATATATAAATAACGTGAAAAAATGAAGATTACCATAGGTTGTGAAGTAATTTCAAATTACAGTTAGGTGCAACTGTAGAGAAAAGACACTTCCTAAGTAAATTAACATATTAAATCATTCTAATGAAAATTACAATTTTTTGTTTATAATCAACGTAAACTTTCGTTGAAGAGTACAAATTTAGAAAAACATTGCAAATAACCAAAATGGTGAAATGACTATTAGAAATTGTATTCAATCAAAGTTTTAGAATTAAAATAGTTGAAATCTTAAAATGGTAGACGACACTCGAAATTTCACAGTTTTGTCTATTCACAAAGCATACTACAGCTTACTCATTAATCCTTTCTCTGCACAGCAAACAATAACAAATGTTTTCTTTCATATTAATACTTTTATTTTACGGAATAAAATACATCGCTCATATCATATTTTTGGCACAGTATATAATACTGCATGCTATGGTTCATTCTTTTTCTGACTACATATTTTTGCATATTCTTAACACAACAAGTAATAAAAACATTTTGTAAATATAAAATGATGTAGGGATTGCAGTGACAAAAATAATGTAAACAAGAATATAAGGATGATACAGTTATACATAGATCATCCCTACATGACTTTCAATATTAAGATTTAATGTTACACTGTGAGATGCACGAGTATAAAATGGTTACGAGGTTGGTCAATTCGACCGACCAATAGCGAGAGTCTAATAATCAAGACATGTTTTGACTCAACTTGGTTTTCCTTGGACGCAAGTCTTGCCCCCCCCCCAGTGGCACAGCGGTATGTCTGCGAACTTTCAACGCTAGAAACCGGGTTTCGATACCCGTGGTGGGCAGAGCACAGATAGCCCATTGTGTAGCTTTGTGCTTAATTCCAAACAAACAAACAAAACGTAAGTCTTAAGTTCTTAGTTACACTACACTGATGCCTACCCTGACGTGACCATGATATTATGATAAACCAACTGCATACCAACAGTCAGGAATATTAAAGTCAAATATACATTTTACAGTGTAACATTAAATTTTAATATTGAAACTTATGTAGATATGACTATATATAGATGTATCATCCCTATATTCTTGTTTACATTATTTTTTGGCACTGCCATCCCTACATCATTTATAATTTACAAAATGTTTTTATTACTTGTTTTGTGACGTTTTCCCCTCTGACTGAAAGTTAGTATATTTTATGAATGTGTGTAATAAAATTTAATATTATGTATATTGATATAATTTTGCGGAATGATTGAGTCAAGGTGTTAGTATTACTAATGGTATAATTATTCGAACTATTATTATCGTCTTTATTACGTGTAATATTAGTTTCACAAGGTTTCGACCAGTGAATTATCCGGCCGTCGTCAGGTGTTAAATCAGACATTTTTATGCGTTAAGAGAATAATAGTCCGAATAATTATACCATTAGTAATATGTGGTATTGAGTTGTTGTTTTTTCACTCCTTTACTTCATGCATAATATAGGGGTTGGCTCCCTAAAGACACCGATTGTATAATGTACAAAGCATTGAGTATTATACATGTTACAGTCATCTAATATTCATCTGTTATTGACTAGTAATTCCTGTTTCACCCTGTACTTTAACTTTTTAAAGGAACGCCAAATTTTTGTAAGAAAGCTAACCTCAAGGGATAATGATAATATCGTTTACACTAGAATCGTGTTTTGTTTTTTTTTACTACTAGCTATTACGGCTAAGCAATGACATAGTGCACTGCCCAGAAACACATTTAGTGGATTTACGTTTAAACTGACATTAATGATAAAGTAGTTATCTCGACTGAAACAAGAGGAAGAAAGATGAACAATTTGGTGAGTTGGTCATTTTCCGGTTTGGTATCTTAGCAATGGGTGCTGGCCTTGTTTTGGGGCTTGTTGGGTAGAGAAACAAATTAACGTAAATGGCAATCTTCTTTTAAAGTAAAACTCTTTGTCAATGCTGTTTTTTCACCGTGCATATTTGTATTATGCCTATTTAGTACCTTGGCCATCCCTACATATAGAGTCTACATAAACTCTATTAAACATTAACTTTATTAATTTTCTCATTTAGTAACTGGCATTATAAACAACACTTACTAATATTGCACAATAGATACCCTGTCTCATCACTCATTTTTTATTATTTTCTTTCAAAATTTACTTATAAAAACGTACTCGTCTTATTTCTAAAGAAATATTAGCCACAGTACTTAGCTCGTTTCAGAATAAAAACGGTAAGATATTTTATTTATTTTCCAAACCACAGTTTTCTCCGTGTCTTTCAAAACACAGCATACAATAAGTTATATTCATCTTTACCTGTTGAACAATGCTGAATATTACTAAAACTCCTGTCTACTAATTGTTTGCAATTTCCTGTCAATCAACAGACAGATCGGTTTCAAAATACCGAACATTAACCACTGCTATAACAGTCTTTTTTTTTCTAGAACTTCGGTTTTTAGGAATCTTTATCAAGAGATGATTCATACCCATCCATAATGGTAACAGTCTTATTGAAAGAAAAATATATAAAGCTGGTCAAATGGTTAAAAACATGAATTAAATAATTTCGGAAAATTCGGAACAATGATACTTTATGTGTCCTCGTTATTATATTGCTAATTATTTATCGGAAAGTTTAATAATGAATACTTGAGACTCTGGTAAGTTTAGACCAAAATTATGCATCGTGTGGTTTAAACAAGACATATTTACTTATATATATAAGACCATTCCTTTGTATGTATCTTTAACGACTCTTGATATTCTCAACATGTTTTAAACTTAAGAAACTTCGAATTCACTCAACAATTAAATTGATTAAGAATTAAATTGGCTTAATTGAAAAAAAAAGGAATTAATTTATATATTTCAAGCATGTTGACGTATGAACTAAAAAAAACTGACTTGTTTTGTTTCATACCGAAATGTTGTTCAATTAACATATTCAGTGAACGGAACTCAAATATTTATAAGCTATTTTTAATGTTTTAAACTATGGAAATTATACATAACCCTTGACAATAATAGAACCGCTGGTAAAACACGAGAACGATGCTTTTAGCAGTTTTTACATTATGGAAATAGAACAAGTTGCGAAAGTAAATCGGTTTTTGATAATAGAGTTAAAAACAATAAAAGTTTAAAACTAACGTTCTAATCGATGCATAACAGAATACAACGGTCGGAAATCGTCAAGGGCAAGAACGAGATATTCTACAAAGGACCCAGTGGCCAATCATCGTGACCATTAATCGGGAATAGGACATTTAATTCACGATAAAGCAACAGAAAACTTGTAACTTTAGATAGTTAACTGAGATACTTCACGTTCGCTCAACAATTGAAAAAACAAGGGATCTGATGCTGATGTATGAACTAAAAACTGAATTACTTTGTTTGCTGCTGACATTTTGTTCAGTTAACATTAGTACCTGGTACAAAGATATCAAATACAGCCTACACTTACACTTATATGTATAAATAGATTGAAGACAAATATCTAATGTATATACTTTTCATATAGAAAAATGTAACGACAAACGTTGAAGCTCTAGACCTCAACAAATTCTATATATTCAACAAAGAATGGTAATGATTTATAATCGTGTAGAAAAACGTTTTAAATTTTAACGAATATTTCGATACTAAAAGTTCATTCTGCTTTCCAACAATATTGAAATAAAAAAGTGATAATTTTTGGAATTCAATATAATATCATAAAGTAAAATAACTATACAAGTTTCAAATTAAACGAAAATAATGATGATTTATTTGAAGCGACAGAAATTTTGGTAAGTGTTTAAATGTACATTATAGCGTAACTTTAATTCTAAGTTGATTAAAGAAGAATAATGATTAGTAAGTAATGGTAAGATAGAGTGAAAGACACTGGTTAGTTATGTACTAATGCATAGAGTGAAAGACACTGGTTAGTTATATACTAATGAATAGAGTGAATGCTAATGGTTAGTTAAATACTAATGAATGGAGTGAATGCTAATGGTTAGTTATATACTAATGAATAGAGTGAATTATAATGGTTAGTTATATACTAATGAATATGGTTAAAGATAATGGTTAATTATATACTAATGAATAGAGTGAATGATAATGGTTAGTTATATACTAATGAATAGAGTGAATGATAATGGTTAGTTATATACTAATGAATAGAGTGAATGATAATGGTTAGTTATATACTAATGAATGGGGTTAAGATAATGGTTAGTTATATGCTAATGAATAGAATGAATGATAATGGTTAGTTATATTCTAATGAATAGAGTGAATGATAATGGTTAGTTATATACTAATAAATAGAGTGAATGATAATGGTTAGTTATATACTAATGAATAGGGTTAAGATAATGGTTAGTTATGTTTTCATGAAT